GGAATCACTATACATACTGGGAGAAACTCAGACTGGGAGAGAGAGAGAGAGAGACTGTGACAGATCAGACAGTCTCTAGGGAATCACTATACATACTGGGAGAAACTCAGACTGGGAGAGAGAGAGAGAGAGAGAGAGAGAGACTGTGACAGATCAGACAGTCTCTAGGGAATCACTATACATTCTGGGAGACACTCAGACAGAGAGAGAGAAAGAGAGACTGTGACAGATCAGACATTCTGTAGGGAATCACTATACATACTGGGAGACACTGAGACTGGGAGAGAGACGGTGACAGATCAGACAGTCTGTAGGGAATCACTGTACATACTGGGAGACACTGAGACTGGGAGAGAGACTGTGACAGATCAGACAGTCTGCAGGGAATCACTGATAGACTGGGCGACACTGAGACAGAGAGAGAGAGAGAGAGACTGTGACAGATCCGACAGTCTTTAAGGAATCACTATACAGACTGGGAGACACTCAGACAGAGAGAGAGACTGTGACAGATCAGACAGTCTGTAGGGAATCACTATACATACTGGGAGGGAGAGACTGTGACAGCTCAGACACATTACTCGGTGCCACCTAGACCTAGAAGGAAGCACTCCTCGCCCTGTGACTTTCCCCCTGGGGAAAAGCACACTAAATCCTGTGACATGCAGAAGAGCACATGTCAATCTGTACGCCTCAGGATATAAGCACACAAGATTTTTTTTGCTCCCTCCATCCAGTGCCCAACACCCCCGGGGAAAAGCACACATCACCCAATCACATACCTCCTGGAGAAGAGCACATATGCTGGGGCAGATCAGACAGTCTGTAGGGAATCACTATACATGCTGAGAGACACTCAGACAGAGAGAGACTGTGACAGAACAGATCAGTCTGTAGGGAATCACTATACATGCTGGGAGAGAGACTGTGACAGATCAGACAGTTTATATTGAATCACTATACATGCTGGGAGCCACTCAGACAGACAGACAGACTTTGACAGATCAGACAGTCTGTAGGGAATCACTATACATGCTGGGAGGGAGAAACTGACAGCTCAGACACATTTTCTGTGCCACCTAGAAGGAAGCACTCCTCGCCCTGTGACTTTCTCTCTGGGGAGAAGCACACTAAATCCTGTGACATGCAGAAGAGCACATGTCAATCTGTACGCCTCAGGATATAAGCACACAACCTTTTTATTTTATTTTTTGCTCCCTCCATCCAATGCCCAACACCCCCGGGGAAAAGCACACATCACCCAATCACATACCTCCTGGAGAGGAGCACATATCACCCTGTGATCAGTCTCTAGGGAGGAGCACACATCACTCTAAGCCCCTTTTCCCCTGTATGGTAGAAGCACTCATAACCCTGTGTCCGCCTGCCCCTCACCAGGTAGAATCCCACATCACCCTATTTCCACCTCCCTGATTGAAGCACATGTCCGCACACACTTTTTCACTGGCACTGTATAAACTTAATGACACAGTTGGACATCCTTTGCATGTTTCTTATACCAGTGCAGTGACCATCCATAAGTGCTCTGTTTTGGTCTGCGACACAATCTTTTCCACTGATAGAACTGTATGCTACACTAGCAATCTGTATGTAGTGCCTAAAAAAAAATAACGGCGAGCAGAAGTGAAGTGTTTACTGTCTATATTTCTACGTTTTTAAGCGTTTCGTTTTATGATTTACATTTGTGTTAAATTCATGGTTGATGTTGTGCAGGGGGTTGTTTAGGTTTCCAACAGTGCTGGTTATATAAGCTTTATTATATTCTGCGCAATTCTGTCTCCACTGTAACAAAATCTGCCTATAGAGAGCTACATATATTTGTAGAAACCTGACTTGCACAAAGCTTTAGTTATGTGTTTATCAAGAAATCCTGTACGTCTTACACCTTGTAGGCATTGAACCCAACTACTAATGTGGCATGATCACCAGTGAAACCTGTTCGGTCAGTGAGGATTAATATAATGTCTTCTAACTGTATACTTGCATGCTCAAGACAAAGGCAAACAACAACCTTTTTTGTTTGTGTAGTTTCCCACATCCTGTATATAGCACTAAGTGAAGCATGAAGAATTGCGTTCATACCCAGACCACCAAGTTCCTGGTTAAGTAACCCTTGCTTTAACACTGGAGTTTGTAACACAGTGGTTTGCATTGGTTTAATGCACACATGTGGCAGGCAAAAAGTTTGTGCTAAATTAAGGTCATAGCAACACTTCACAAATGTAGAAATCTTTATTGTAAAGTGGTTGTAATTTATACGTCCTAAGTAGGAGTGGCCACTCCAATCATTCTGTCAACCATTTAGTTTGTCCATTAAATGCATCCTTCGCATTACTCAAATTTTGATGACATGAATTTATGGTATTTTGCAGCAATATTAGTCTTTTTTGTTTTAAACGACTTCCTATAAACTTATGATTCCTACTTGAAGAGCATGGCAGTTGTTTCAGAACTTTCTGTTTGCCTCTGATCATTGCTATGGGACTAATTACTTTTTTAATAATGGTTTTTAAATCCTGGTGAGTCTTTGGCTGTTAAATCCCTGCTTTAGGTTAATAAACTAAAATGGGAATTCACAGTGAATTTCGAATATTGCTGAACATGAAACACCACTAAAAAATATAGCAATTTGGCTTTTTTTTTTTTTTTTACTAAAGTGTGAAATTCACATTGAATTCATTCAATAAATGTGATTAGTGTAGCATATATCCTAAAGGCCAGGCATGTTACAGTCTCTGCTAAATATGAAATGCGTGTAACGTGCCAATTTAATTCTGTAAATGCATTTTGTCTGTGTGTATTTTTTTTTTTTTATTTATAGTGTGTGAATGTTGTGATTGACACGATATACATTTACGGCGCTGTACGGGTTGTGTACAAATTTTAATCTTTTGTTTTTTCTTAATTCCAGTTACGGTGATTAGTGGTCTAATCATGCTTATACTCTTCTTCTCTGAGCTACAGTACTACCTCACTAAAGAAGTAAGTCACTGTAAATAATGTCCTTAACTCCTAAACATGTGGCTGATAATATCTTCCTTGGAGTAAAAAATGGGAAACTGAGGAGTAATAACGTTCCCCTATTTTCCAATTCAGTACGTAGCTCATACATAAAAAAGTACAAATAAAATGAAACTTGTTTTTATTAGGAATTAATGGAATAATAGTTTATACTAAAAGAGCTGTTCCACTTATCACAAAGGAAGGCTGGCATGGCTCTGTAACAGCTGCTACCAGTTTAACTCTGCCAATGATTGCTTACAGGCTGTGCAGTCTGTG